TTTAATGATTTGTTTTCAATTGACATCGTTTAAGCGAAATTGAACATGCATAGATACTTTAAAAGTGAAGAAATATTTAGAAATAGATGAAACTGCACGAATACCTAAAAATTTCCGGTATAAAGTCAGGCATGCGGAGTAAATTAGTCATCTTTACTTTAGGGAGACCAGCAAATGAAGTTATACGACTAAGACCGCGATTCAAAGCACGTGTACACGTTTTCCTTCTTTTTCGATATACATGTAGTAAGACCATTACAAAGAACTGTAAACAATTTCATTTTGTAATAAATGGATTATCAATTGATGTCTTTTTCTGTGGGTTGTTTCTTGTATTTGGATAAATAAATTAAGTTAAAAAAATTCGTTTTTAGTTAAATCGATATGAATAAAAAAATGCATGAGAAATCATCGTTGTAGTTTAATTTAAGGGCGTAACTAAGCTCAAGAAAATTTACACACTTGTATTTATATTGTTATCGAGTACCCGGGTACTCGATCGGAAAGAAGCATCCGAGTAACCGATTATATCAAAAAATATATTTTTACCAATTTAACATCCCAATTTATTTACAGCAATTTTTTTTTTTAAAGAAAGCATCTTATTTGGATGTAAATATATTTTTTTTTAATTTCCTTTGGAAAAAATATAATAAAAAACATCTAAAATAATTAAGAGCTTATGTCAGCTTTCCTATGCTGAAACCATTAATTGTTTTAAAAAGGTTGACTCAGAGATCTAAAAAAATAAAATATTTCCTCCTTAACTCTTCTTTTTATTTGGTCGGCTGTTATGCAGAAAACCCTACTAATACATGTACAAACGCCGCACCATACAATGAATGGACAATGTTTACAAATTTTAATATGGGGAAATTCTGTTCGCAGATTTGAATGGCGGCGCGTAGCAAAGGGGCCTCGAAGGGGGTTCACTAAAAATATGAAATGTGATTTATAATTTTTGTATGTTTTTTGTAATATGGGAATGATTTTTTTACCGTTAAATGTTACCTTTATAGACGGAGAATTCTTGCTAGTGGTAAATTTAAATTCCAGGAAGTTGATTGTTTCGTATACAGGCCAAACAGGGCACCCCCTACACTAGTAATCACATCATTACCACAAGCTTTACGAAGGTACGGAAGTATTTTATATCATAGAATGTACGAGGGGTTATCAAAAAGTTCGTGGACTAACGCCATAAAATTAAAACTGCTTTAGGTACATCAATGAATTTTTAAATATCTAGTAAGCATCCTCTTTTCTATCGATAGAATAAAGAATAAATCATAAAATTTATTTTTTTAAATAAATTAGTAATGATTTTGTAAGCAATGGTATGTCCAGGCGGCACAACCTCGAACACGACGTTTTAGCGAACTAAGTGTGACTGAGAAAAACTTCATATTCATATGAACATGTGAAATCCAAAAATCTCGTTTATTTAGGCATGTGTTGGGACACAATTGTTAAATAAGATATGAAATTTTTACTTCATTCTGGAAGTTCTATGAAATTTTATCATAAATTTTACACGGAGTGTTCAAACAAATAAGACCTTGAAAATGACGTCAAAAGGCAGGGGCGTAGCCAGGGTACTTTTGCTGTGGACGCCTGAATATAGACAGGGGGTTTGATGACCGACTTAAGGACCTTATTGGGTCTACGGCGAAACCCTATGGTTGGAGCTCGGAAGTTGGTGAATTTTCGACGATTTCGATGTGCTTTTTTGACCCTCCTGGTTGCAATTTTCTATCACTTTTACGCAGCCACATCTAATTTGAGGTCTGTTCATTTATTGGACAAAATGCGGACAAGCACTCAAAAATAAGAAAGGGTTTACCTGTCCAATAGCGTTGTTTGACGAAGACACTAAAACAATTTTAGACTTTAGAAGCTCCACAAAATACGTATGTAATTCTTTTCAACTAATTTTCATGCACATTAACACCTATCGGGTATGTTCATTGTATACATTTTAAAATGCATGTTCATAAATATTCACAAATCTGGTATCTTTTACTTGTAGTAAAAATTATATACATAAAAAAAAAAATCTTTTCTTCAGTTTTTAAAACTGAATTTTACTCATTTTTCGATTTTTGATATTTATATATATATAAAGCTGAATTATGGTTTTTTTGAAGTCTTTCATGAAGGTTGAGATTTCGGGGGGAATATCGTTACAGAAGTTAAACATTACAGTTTGAAGTCAATTCCCAGTAATAAAAATTGAAATTCTTGGCATTAGATAAAATTATCGTTTGTTTTAAGGGAGCCGACTGGGGTTTTATTGTGTGAAATCTATCTACCATAGAGAAACTCTTTAAGAACGTACATGTAAGTGCACTAGAAAAAAAAACTCGTCAACATTCGGTATTAAACTAAAATCCGGGAAAATCTTTTGATTTCAGTGAGGTGTATACTATCGTATTTTGTTTCTAAGAATTTTTTTTAAATTATTTTATTATTAATTTTTTTTTTTTTTTTGGAAAATGATGTGGACGTTTAGGCGTACAAACGTACGCCTGGCTACGCGCCTGAAAGGGGGAGGTGTTTCCATTAACAACATTCTATTAAGTTTTGCGTCTGAAAATACTGGTATAAACCTAAGAAATGTTTAAAATGGCTACAGAAAAATAATATGCATCCAAAGTACTTGTCTTTTAATGTCAAAATAGATTCAGGAAGAAAGGGGATAAAAAGTTAATGTCTATTAGTAGTCAAGATGTGAAAAATCAATCACGTCAAAAAATGACGTTGATCATGTGTTGTAGATATTCAACCCCCCCCCCCCACCACCAAAAAAAATACGCTCGTAGGCCTATATGCTGGCACAATCAAGTGAGGTCAGGATCTCTCCCATTGTTTAAATCCATTTGTCATATTATATTCATTGAAAGCTGATGTTCAAGATATTGTAAAGTCATAAAAACAAAGCGGGATTAAGTCCTTACTCAGCTCCAGAGAATCTCATCAAAATAAGTGTATGAGGTAGAAGAAGCGGACATTAAAAACCAATGACGTTGTCGAACGTCATGAAACTAAACGCGACAGCGCCGGGTGATCATGTAATGTCGACTTTATTTTATAATAATTTGGCAAATAATGAACGTATCAAGCTAAAATTTTAACATTTCTTTATTTTTTTGTTGTTTTATACCCCATATAAATTTTGAAAGCACAGGCTACAATAGTACCAATTTTATAGCCTCAGTCCACGAACTTTTTGATAACCCCTCGTAGGGTAGATTTTACAAAATGTACGTTCTGACGAGCAGCATTCCATATATATGAGTTGGTTATTCTTCCAATATTACTAAAAGAATATAATTAATTTTATATTCGGACGAACGTAGTGAGGGAGAATATAACACAACTTTAAGAAGTTCTACGTATATTGATACGGAAGTATTTTATATGTATAGAATGTAGGGTAGATTTTATAAAACGTTTGTTTTATGTAATTTTTAGATTTGTTGGTATAGAACTTATCGCAGATATGTCAGTGAAAGATAATTTATGAGAAAAAAGTCGAAAGGGCCAACACATGGCCAAGGGGTCTATATCGAAGGGGGATGTCCTCAAGCACCTGTGTGATATACAGGACATCCCTACTTTTAGTTATTTTTTACCTTACACTATAGTGGTAAAAACAAGTAGGGGATGTCCTTTTAGGAATTTTTTCCGAGGATGGGGGTCCACCTCAGACAATAAACTCTATATGTATTCTTTCATATCCATCTTCCCGAGTCATGAGTTTCTGATCCGCTCCGCTCTACATAAATTTATGTGGAGCGGAGCGGATCAGAAACTCTTGACTTGGGAAGATGTTTCATATCATACATAAGAGATTTTACATTCTGGAAACAAATATTGAATTTGAGGAAAAATTTTCGCCTAGATGTATACCATACTGTGTTAATTTAAAAACAATAAATACAGTCTCATTGGTAATGATAATATTTATAGTTAGAACCAAAAAAAAAAAATCAAAAAAAGATGAGATTGATGTAAGACATAGTTAACTTACATTTGAAAATTTCTTCAAGTCTTTGAGTGTGTAAAAATTTTAATTAAATTCATTGTTCTATTATAATTTTGAGAGGCAGAAACGAAGATATTTTCATATGCCACCATTCCGCCAAATCTTTAGTCTCTGCTAGTTTTCAAATGCAGTTTACCATTTCTATTTAAATTTGTACAATTTTGATGAGGAAAGAAAAAATGGTCTTTTAAATCCTGCGTTCACCTAAATATATAAGACATAAGCAAATATACTTTGAATGTTTCATCTAGTAAGAAACAAGAGAAGAATCCTACCTTAAGAAAATAACCTATAAACTATGGACACTATAATAGTAGAGTCATCATTAAACACTGAAAATATATTGTTGATTTAAGGATTAAAAATTTAGATTTTACAGTTTCAAAAGATTTTTCTTATGATAAAAATAATTAGGTTAAGGTTAGGTTAAGGGTCGAAAATCGGCATCGTCGGAACCCACGGGTTTTCTCTCCGTTACACTGCATTTAACTGCAGTGTAACGGAGAGAAAACCCATGGGTTCCGACGATGGAAAATCGGGGGTAACATGACAAAATTAGGTGAGTTATTGAACAACACCACCTTCAAAGCCTTTTTTCAGTATGTATATTGCAGCACAATTAACAACAAATCATAAAGAACAAAATAAAATACGAATCATATAGTATTTTATTATATATTTACAGAACAAAAATGTACAGTCAACTTAATACATATAGAACGACAACCAAAAGAATGGAATGCAAAACAACAATGTGCCTTATAATTTTTAAAGACTATTTGATATAAAGGCACAGTATATGATATCACATATATTAAGTTCCATACTAGAACAAAATTTAGTATGCATATAGCATACCTAGACAATCATAATATATGACAGAATTTAATTCTCCTTGCACTCATATGTGAATCAGATGCCTTTATGACTGTCAAATTAAAGGGAGATTGCAGTTTATGTAAATTTTCAAACTCTAACATTTTCAGTGAAAGTATTTTTACTTATTTACGATAAAAATTGAAATAAAATTTCTTCCCTTTTTATTTACAGAAATAGTCACACATTCACATGTTTGTGACACTCTTTGGGAATCCAACTCAAATGTTTCTTGAATTATTTGGGAATTGTTCATGAAAGTTAGTTTTAGTTATCATGCAGTAACTGATTGATTCTTTGTGAACAATTCATGTATTGAATTCTAAATTTCTAATTTTTTTAAATGTGAATTTTACTTACTTGGCTCTGGGAAAGGTTTCTTGAAATCATCAGTCGTAGAGTCCTTCCATTCACACAGTCTCTCCAGAGCTGGTCTGGATCCCATGACGATGTGCTCGCTCATTCCCTTCAACATCTTGTGAGCCATGGCTATGCCATACTGGACTCGGTTTGTGTTGATAGACTCCAGGTCTGACATAGATCTGGCTATGTTGTAAGCCCTACTGAAATACTCTGTGGCCTCATCATGTAGCGACCCTGAAATCTATAGAATTAAACACTATATATATACTGTTAAGAGTGATCATGGTTTAAATTTTGTAAAAACATTAGTGAGTTACTTATAAAGTTAGTAGGGATGTCAATTTTATACGGACAGCTTACTCAAATAGTCAGATGCTTTAGTCGAATGATAGTCAAATATTCGTTTGATTTTAATTAAATTTTCATATCATTATTGCTTCTATTACTGAGTCAAATTTACAATCATTGTTTGGAATATGCATTTGCAATTTATAAAAATATTTTTTGAGAGCAAGAAAGTCTATACTTTTTCTAGTACATCTATATATACCCATAGACAGTAATTTGCTGGAATGCATATTTTTGTAGCACTGAACATTTGGTTTAAAATCATGTTGGGGAATTTGAAAAATTAAATTTTTGTTTAGAAAGGTTTTATAAATTCTAACATTTTTTCAGATCCTAAGATTGTCACTGCCCTGCAGCAGATGCTGGGGATGGGTTTCCATAACGAGGGAGGCTGGTTACAGCGCCTCCTGGAGGAGAAAGAGGGCAACATCAGCCAAGTGTTGGATGCCATCCAGAACAGGGCAAAGGTCACCCCTGATGGAAGCTACATGGCTTGAAAAATGAAATAAATGGAAGAAAAGACAGAACATTTCACAGAAAATTTTACATTTAATTGAAGTGTGTAGTTATCAAAAATTTAAGTAGGTGGTCTTAACAATATGTTGTTTTATAAACTTTGTGTGTTAATTAATGTATTTTTTTTCTGCCAGATTAATATATGAAACACTTCAGTGACCAATTTTTGATAGCAAAATTGTCCATTCTATGTTAAAGATTCTTTTCTTTTTCAATGGATGAATTGTGAACTTTAGAAATGCAACTGTTGCTTAAAAAATATGAAATTTATGGTAAAGCAATATTTTTTATCAGGTAAAGAAAGTAATTAGTTAATATCATTTAATAATTTTGAACTTTTTTCGTAAGTGTTGAAATCAAGTGGTGAATCATCTTTGAACACATATTATACATTGTACAATGTAATTTATTTGAACTTTTTGAAATAAATATTTCCTCAGTCCTAATTAGCATTCTCTTTTTTTTCTATCAAAATTGAAGAGGACCTGCATTGTTGCAAAAAAAAAAAAACCCAAAAAACTTGTCACTAAATCCAGGTGGGTCTGGCATGATATCGAATTAAAGTTGTGATATATGGGGTATATATATAATTTGGAAAATGTTTTGTTAGGCCAAATTGAATTGATATGGCCAGATCATCACAAAACCATGGACAAAATTCATCTCCCAATCTGGTCATAGTTGAATTAATAGAGAATACTTTTGCAGCTCATTAAAATACTGACCAATGCAGGTAAAGCACAGTCGGAATTGAACCTTGATGAGACCCTCCAATACCTAATCACATTAACTGATTAAAAAGCATACCGGGGTATCTTGTTTACTGTTGATTAATTGTTGATTTCAATTGTGATGGAAACAAATTTTGTCTTTGACTAAATATGCTAACATTATAGGGCTTGGTTCAAGATTCAAAGCATATTGAAGGCAAATCTGATACAGCTAATGTACATAAACATCTCTCTCTAGGAACCACCCATGCAAATTTTGTTGATATGAGAAAATGACTTCACAACTAAGATTTCTTTAAAAAAAAAAAAAAAAGATTTAGTAGCATTAATAAAGCTTTATTTTTTTAAATCCCAAAACAAGTTATAAAATTTTAAAATTTAATTCAGCATGAAATACATTAGTCATGTGTGAGATAAAAATGTACAAAAATAGACAGATTTTACATTGTATGTATTAATAATCAAATTTTAAAATTTAAATTTACTATAAAATATACATAAGGGTTTTTTTATCTAAGAGATAAAAATGTACAAAAATAGAAAGTTAAAAAAATAAATTAACTAAACAAATATTACATAGAATGTAAAAGTCAGTTTGACCCTGCATGATTGTAGGATTCATTATGCAATTTTTAAATATGTTCCTGTGAAAAAGCTTTGTTATCCAACTATGGGTGTACTCAATTATTACAAAATTTTCAAATTGTGAGAACAATAATATGCAAATGGATATGGTTATAATCAAGAGATCTTACATTGATTTCAGCACCATAAAAGCAAATTTTAACATAATTTTTTGGCAAGTCGTACTTCTTGCAAAATTATGCAATTATTGCCATTCCTTCCTCACATATAATAAGGAATTATTTTTTTCAAATCTGCTCATTTTAGGTTCACTGTGATAAGAAAGATAACTCTCCCTTGTATCAAAGACTATTAATCTCTCCTTTAACAGAAAATGTCAAAAAGCACAATTTCAGCCAAATTTTGCTCTCTATTTTAAAATTTAATTTCGATTTCTTTTAGAAAATCATTATGATCATTAAGACAGAATTTTATGCGAGTGAGATCATGAACCTTCATAGCAAAAGCACGTTTTTAAAATTAAAATTTAAAAATCATTGCAAAATTTGCAATTAATGAATGATATTAGTTGGGTTTTTTTTGTTTTTGTTTTGTTTTGTGTTTTTTTTTTTGTTTGTTCTTTTTTACAAGTAAATACATGTTCAACCTACTTGTTATTCAAGTTAGGGTTCATTGTGAAGTTGTATAGACTGGTTCTCTACCCTTGATTCCAGTCGAATTACAAGCTTGCGCCCCTTGACCAATGTCAGGGTACCAGTCTAACAGTTGTATAACAACAAACATTAAATATTTTACACTGTATTTTTGTTGTTGTTGTTTTGGGGTTTGTTTTGTTTGTTGTTGTGTTTTTTGTTTTTTTGTTTTTTATGTAAATTAAACTTAATTAATACATAAATTATACTAGTACAAAATCATCCATATCAGTTATATATACTCTCATATTTGGAACTGGTCTATAAAAAAAAAAACATCATACAAGCAAACTAACCAAGGTTAAATAACTGTGTCTCATACTTCTTTTCAATTAGAAGTTAAGTAGAAAAAAATGAAAATAATGACAACATATTATATACCTCTTTGGATTATCATCAGCAGTTCAATACATTGTAAACATCTAAAAAATATGGCACTTTAAATTATGGATGCAATATATGAAATAATACTGCTAAATTACAGCCTGTCTTTCTGGTACTGTAACACAATACCTGGTACATATATATTCAGTATATGAACCTGTATTTCAAAGAGCATCCTTATAGCTAAAAAGGTTATATCAAACTCTGGGATTATTTCTTAATTGTAGCAGATGGTCAAATAACATTTTTATATTTATACACACTCATGTGTAACATTAAACAAAATCAAGCAATTAGAGGATTTCAGCTGAATTTTTCTAAAAAGAAAAAAAAAAATACAGTAAAACACGCTTATAGCTAACAATGCTTGTAGTGACTTGATGCTTTTGCAAAGTGATTTTCATTCCTTAGCTTGTGGATTTTAAATACATGAAGCTAACGAACATTAAAATAGATTTATGATTTAAAAAAAAAAAGCAAAATCGGCAACTCAACTTCTGTAAGCCTGTTTTAATGTATATATACCCTGTACATTAAATGTAAAGTAACAGCAATGTACCCTTATATACATATGTATGTAATAAAGTACTAATGCATGGAATGGATATAAGTACAAAGTGAGCTACACAATAATGAAGATATAAATGACATGGCTGAAACCAGTCTTAATCTGAATTTTGCAGGCACAACACAACAGATCCAACTTGACACTTGATGTTCATCAGCTTGAGATTCAATGGAAAGATCACATTCTTAACTATAACAGATTATTATTATAACTTCTTCCTGAAAGTGGCAACAATCGATACGTTTTAAAGGATCTTGGATTATTCAACTTGACACTGTTCCGTTCCTCTGTATAAATGACATGATATTTGCAGAGCTGCCTTGTTTGGAATGTATGGAAAGGCATGCATATGCTATGGAATAAAAAGGAAAGATAATCTTTCACATACTACTACATGTATGTTTCGACGGGTCTTAAACTGTCATCAATTTCGTTCATGGGCATATTTTCTTGCTTGTCTTCTGCTTCTTCATGAACTTCTATCACTACTGTTTCGACTCCTCTGTTGGGAAGAAAATTTGAGTGTTCTTCACCATGTTCTGTGTTACCCTCATTTGTTTCTTGAGGCATAAATCTATCATTATCAGTGTTGCGAGGCATTACATTATCTACATCTGCTTCAGGAACATCATCATTTTCTTTAGGTACAGGTACACATTTGAATTTACTGAAGCTAATGGGGTGATGATGCAAGATTTTACATCTAAAGGCAACCCCTAATAGAACAATGAAAACAAAAAGCACACTCGATGTTATTATGAATATTATCATGGTTATCCTATATTTTTCGTTCTTGGCATTTTGATCTTCAGCCTTTTTAATTCTCTGATTAAGTTGCTGAATTTCTTTCACATGGGAAATTTTGAGCAACTCAGTTTCCTTTTCTTGCTCTTCCAACTCTAGGCTGGTATTTTGCTGCTTTTCGTGCATTTCCCTTGAGGATTTAATCCCTCCACATCCTGTAAAACAGCGTCTAAATCTGTAGCTGTCTTTTGAATCATATTTGTATGGGCATGGGTTTGGGTGTTTTGTACAATCGCTGTATTTACATAGTGCATGGGTCTGTAAAGAGTTGGATCCCGTGTTGAACTCAGGACAGAAACTTATCATCTTTTTGTTTGGAGAGCAGACAAGAAGAGTCTCGTTCTCCACTCATTCACTGCTAACTGGGGTTCCAGGGGAATTGAGCAATTACTGATAGGACAAATTCCCAAAAAGCCATCCATGTCATCTGGAATGTATTCCATACGTTGAATTAGATATTCTTTGCAAGGTTCTAGCTCCAAAGGAGGACAACTGACTGTCGTCACAAAAAGAAAGATGAGTAACCTACAAGAAAAACAAAACATATAGATTTACTACAGGTATACTGAAACGTTAAATGCAAAGACCAAGTTTTTGTATATTACATGCATATACATGGGGGTAACCCCCCTCCCTTACCCTGTGGATTTGCAGATTGAATTATTAAATTTATATGTACTGAACTACTGAAGCAAATAAAAAATGCCAATATGGATAAAAATATTTGACTGTTTATGCATTAATTAAGAAATAAGGTATCATTTTAAAACATCTATCGGGCTATAAATACGGGTTGGTCACAAGATTAAATTTATGAATGAGATGAATTTAATCTCGTACCAACCCGTATTCATAGCTCGATAGATGTTTTAAAATGATACCTTATTACTTATATTTACATTTGTGACTTATTCATATTTTATATTTGCCTGATTGTGACTTTTAGTGTGTGAAATGCATTATTTTTCAAACTTAACGGCAAGTATGTAATCCACTGAACGTGCGTCGACCCTTTATGACGTCACTGATAAATTATGTCAAACGATTATCCACACACACTTTTATGACTTCTTGACCCCGTACCTGTATTTATACAGTTATAGATATGCATTCATTTCAGTAGTGTTATATAAAGGAAAACATTTGCAAATGTAAATATATGTGTATACATGTACCGTATATACTCCTTAATAAGTCAGTATTTTGGGAGTTAAATTTAAGTCCAAAAGTCTATGTCCGACATATAAGTGAGTCATAAAAA